AAAATAAGATATTATAATCTTAATATAAGTTTCAATCTTTCAAACATTAAAATTAGTATAAAATACTATTAAATGTGAATAGATTTGAATAATGAAATTATTTATACTATGCATAAATTATCATTTTCCACACGAAAAATATTATTTACATTAACTAATAAATGAATTTGAATAAAAATATTCGAATTTCAAAGTACTGATTTACTAAGTAGTAAATTTTGAAATAAATTTACAAAATTCATATTAAATTCAACGAATAGATCGTTGGATAAAATATTCTTTGACAGGGTTTTTTTTTTGTTCATTTTTCAAGAACAAGAAAAGAAATTTGATAAATAGACTTTTTCCAATCTAAACAATATTTGCTATACTCTTCGAATATTTGATGATATTTATAAGCTTAGATTGTCCACTAGAGAATAGGATAATTAGTACGAGTATCTCGAGATCGCTAGGATTGAGAGGGAGTTGAAGAGAAAGAAACACAATACAACGCTGGAGAAATATGAAAATTTTTCAAGACTGGAGAGTTCATCCGCTTAGAATATCTATGATAATTAGAATGACTATCTTTCATGTTATCAATCGATAGAAAAGAAAGACATTAAAATGTTTTCATGTAAAAAATTCATAATAAAAACTAACGAGGAAATCTCTGCAGGTGTCAAATCGCTTTTCAATCGAGATGATGTTTATTTGATGAGTAATAGAAATGTCTAGAATGATTTGATTTTTCAGGCCTTCATTCTCGAGATATCAAAGTTTTACTGAATTCTTCAACAAAATGCTCTGTAGTCATGTGAAAAAAATCGACTTCAAACTTTACACGAGCAAAGTTCTCAATGAGATTAGTTCATTGAACAAAAGTTGTAACCTTAGTAGCCATTCCTATCTCGAAATATTCGAAATTTTCTTATGTGTAAAAGCAAATTTTGTTCATATATTTACATCATACAAGAAAAACTAAAAACTTGTACAATTAATTAATCTCATTGTAAATCTTGTTCGTGTAAAATTTGAAATCGAAAGTTAATTTTTCACATGCTCACAGCTTTTTTTTTTATTGAAAAATCCAGTAAAATATCGATATATCAAGAATGAAGGTCCCCAAAAGATTCTTGAGTTTCGTATTACTCATCAAATGAATATCGTCTTAGTTGAAAAACGATTTGATATCTGAAGAGATTTTTTTTGTAAGTATAATTAAGAATTTAAATTTTTACCTATCTCCTCTTGTATATACATCATCGAATGGACCTTTACCAAAACAACATGCATATAAAATTCCACCAAGAGAAAACATATCAGTTTTTTCAGTAATTAGAGAATTTGTTTCTATATGAAATAATTCCGGTGCACGATCTATATAAATATGACAATGAGAATAAAAAAAAAAAAGAAAAGATAATATTTAAATATTTAGAAAAACAAAAAACCAAGATCAATTACATTGTACACAGCAATTTTCTTCTGCCCAATCCTAAGAATAGAATAAAATGAATAATAAATAATTGATAGAAATATATATATATATACCTGCCATTGTTGTGCTTCTGATCTAGTAGTCATTAAAATTGATGCTGGTGTCATTGAACCAAAATCTAGTATAACACTATGAGAATTATTTAATAACATAATATTACTTGGTTTCAAATCTCTATAAATAATAAATAATTACTAACAGTAATGAATAAACAGCAACAAAGATAATTACCTATGAGCCATTCTTTTTTCATGAATTTGACGAACTCCTTCACATACACTCAAAAATAAATCAAGTAATGCACGAGTAGTAAATTTTGTTTGTCTATCAAAAACATCTTGAAGAGAACCATTCTATTTAAAAAGAAGAAAGTCATAGTTTCGATGATGATTAGAACTATAGAAATAATAATTTGCCTTGAAATAAGGAAAAACAAGCCAAACAATACTTGTTACATGTGAATTCGGATTATATTGTATTTGTTCGTGATAGAGTAATGAGACTAAGAACAGGAAATAATGATAATATAAAAAATACTTCTTAATCAAACCTAGATTTGGATGTGAAAATCTCTGATAATTTTCTATTTCATCTTGTGCACGTTTTTCTTCTTCATTTGTATGACATGACATTTTCTTAATAGCATATAGATGATCATCAGCTGTATTACGAGCTTCAAATACATAACTGAAACTTCTAAAAACTAAATTTAATAGACAAACTATTGTGTTCTATATAAAAAAAAAAAAAAAACAAAATGTCCGTATGTTTCAAATCATTAGAAAAATCCTTCCCACTTAGAAAGTAATAAAATAAGCATAAATATAAAAAACAATGTACCCTTCGCCAATCTGTCGTATAAGATGAAATTTTTGTCCTTGTATAACCACACTTTGTCGTCCACATATACAACCCATCTATAGAAACTCAAATAGAAAACAACAACAACAACAATTCTATATTCTATTCCACAAAACATGACACGAAAAATTTTTTTTTTATTGTTATGTTTCTCGGATGGCATAATCGAATAACACAGACTTGAGAAAAACAAATACTTAATCTCATAAGTAATAGCACAAAACAATCATACAGATATAGATATACAATGAAAACAAATTTGGAAATGATGTTAAAAGAACAAAAAAAAACAAAAAAAAATTTCACACAACAAAGATTCATTCTCCACCACATTTTTTTTGGACTTGGAATGCACATACATACAAGAAAGTTACATGAAGATTCTCTCTCTCTCTCTCTATTTATTTTTTCATTTTGACTAGTAAAACATGTACTATATATATGTACACATATAGAACAGAACTCATCTGCTAAATAAAAAGTAAAAATTGATGTATGTACGGAAAAAAAAAATCATTATAAAGATGTAAAGAATAAGATTGACTGACAGACAAAAGAAAAATCATTTATTTTATTCTTCAAGATCATTATCATCATCATCATTTGATTCATTTTCATCATCAATAGTATCTTGATGATCATTATTTGTACTACTGTTCGATGGAGGAAGACAAGTAGTAAGTTCTTTCGATGATTTATCATCATCATCATCATCATTGTTTTCACCTAAATATATAAAAAAAAAAAAAAAAAATTTTTTTTTCAAATTTTCTATTATCTCTCAAGATTTATCTTTAATATTAAAATAAATCTTTTCTTTTTTCACTACTAGATAAAAGTAGCTGTTCTTTGAGCAGAGATAGAACTAGTATGCCTTATTAAATTTGTCAGTATGAATTTTAGATCGATCGATTCGATCTCTGAATGCGACAATAAACTCTGATCCAAAAACACTTATACACTTTTCATTGGTTTACATGTAATGGAATTTTAATCACTCGATCTCAACCATATTGACACGAATATTTTCGTTCAATTTCTCATTCGAATGCACAATGTCATAACTATTTTGAATTCAAATTTTATTAGAAATCATAAAAACTTCCAATGACACAACGAATCTGTTCTACAAGTTTTACAACTGCAGCACTAAATGAAATTGAATTAACGCTATGATATGATTTTACTATCTCAGAACATGTTAATTACTAAGATCTTGATTATGTGACACATGCTTTGGTGATAATTAACTAAACAAATAGGACTGTCATTAGTGTAAGTTCAGTTCGCGTGAATTCTACGTATGCACATTCAAAATATCAGCTTAATATTATTAAGAATAATAATACTTTTCATATACTAACCATGATGTATATTATTATTATTATTATCATTATCATTGATAGATATTGATGATGTAGATTCATTTTTACTTTTTGTTGTTGATGATGCTTTAATATTTCGTTCTTTGACTTTATATTCCAACTTAAAATAATAAAAAGAAAATAAACTAGTTAAATTTCGTATTGGAATAATTCAATTAACTTACTGTTGAATGTGGTACACCAAAAAATGAACCAGCTTTATGTACGGACATTTCATTACTTAAAACAGCTGCTACTGCTTTAGCTAATTGTTCAGATTCATAACGACGATATTGACCACGTTTTGGACGGATTTGTTTACCATCTGTACCAATCATAACTTTATTATTATTATTATTATTATTATTGATTATTTCATTTGATCGTCCTTTAGGTATATAATTTGTTGATTGATTTAATTTTGTTTTATGTTTATTTTTTATATGAATAGATGATGAACGAGTTGATGATACACTTGATGTTGATGATGAACTTGAGGACGAAGGATTTACTTTATTATTGTGCTAGAAAAGAATATATATATATAGATTATGATATTTGAATAGAATAGATACAAAATATCAATTAAAAAAAAAAGAAATCTTTCATCTTAAATCTTGTAGAATTACAATAGAAATCTATTTTATTTCTATCTTTATTAAGAAGATTGTAATAACATTTTCTATTTGATATATTACAAATATAATTCAATATTGAATCATACAGATTTATTTACTTAGAATAGGAAAATATATCTGCTATTGATATGAAGAATACTATCGGTATTTATGTTTCATAAAAGAAAAATTCAAAGTTTGGTATTCTATCAATTTACATACTATTTTGTAAAATACGAGTAGAACCCGAAAATTGTGAACTCAACGAGCTCTAAATATGATCTAAAAGAAGTTTTGAAGTATAAGGATAGAAATTTGGATCTCCCCCATTTACCATTATCAATATCATCTTGTTATAATAAATACATTACTTCTTCATGACATTTTTGGAAGAACTTAACAACAGAAGTTAAGTTATTTTAATCATATGAAATATTTTATTTTTTTTAAAAAATATTCAATATACAAACCTTATGTTGTTGTTGTTGTTGTTTTATATTATAATTATTATTAAAATGATTAAAAATATTTGTATTATATTGTTCATCATTATTAACATTTTGTTTTTTAACAAATAATAATTCACCTTTACGTGATGCTCTTGGTTGTGATACAGATGATGTTTGTTGTTTTTCAAACATTTCATGTAATATACGCATCATAACATCATTAAGTATATGATTAACATGAATGGATTCTGTAAGAATAGATGATGATGATGATGATGATGTTAGATTATTTGAAATTTTTGATTTTTTATTAGTTGATGAATAACGTTGATAATCAATTTCTTGTAACATTCGTTCATATGCCATTTGTTTAGCTAACTGAGCAATACGAGTATCTTGTAAAGATGTCGAAGATTTTTTATTTGTTTGAGAATAATGTAGAGGAATAGTTGGTGATGTTGGAAAGAGATTCATATTTAAAAATGATTGAGATGAAAAATCTTAAATAAGATAAAAAAAAAAGAATTAATAAGAAATTAAATTTTTATTTATTTTTTACCTAGTTGACTAGCAATCATGTCAGACATAAAACGATCAAGTTCTTCTTGACCATACATTGTTGGTATATCTGACTTCATATCAAACAATGGTCGGTGTCTAAAATGTCAAGCGGAATGAAATATTTTAGAATAGTAAACATTTATATTTGAGATGTTAAGTAATTCGAACAATCTATTTATCTGTAATTTCTCTAGATTTTCTGCTAAAAAAATTTTACATTTCTCAGACGAAGAATCCATTGGATTCTAAGTTTTCAAATCTGAGATCAATCGATGGGCTATAATTTCGATCGAGAGAAAATTATTTCTCTTGAATCCCGAGACTAAAATCAATCCCGCATATCTCTATTATTTCATACCGGAAAAATAAACTTCATGACATGACTTTTTGAGATGAATCTTATATCATTAAATAAGTCCTAGTGTGAGACTAAAGAAAGTCTAATAAGTTTCGTACCCATAAGTACATTTTTGTCATGTTGAATTTCTGAACAAAAATCTGTCATTTTCAAGTTCAAATCTTGTAAAAAACGAAATTTCTCAATAGGACTAATTCATTGCGTTAGTATTAGAATTTCTTGTACCTTCTATTCTAACATATAAATATTATATAGCTTTCTTTGTATAAGATTGAAATTCAAAACTTGATGATCTGAGAAGGATTACTCATTATAATGATCCATAACTTAACAAGGAAGATCCAGGGAGATGAAATCTTTTTTGAACTTTCTTCAGTCTCAATAGAGCATATGACTCATTTCAAAAATGATTTATCATTTCATGAAGTTTCTTTTTTATTAGTAATTCTTATCTCGAATGTATGCATATAAAATTCTTATTGAATCAAAATTTTCTGTCTTTTTGTAAAGACCTATCTGAATACTAATAAGATTAGAAGGTCAAAAAAAACTCTCTTCTATAGTATAATTGATAATACTAACTTGATATTTGTTCGACTATTTGATGTAATTAATGACAAATTATTTGTTGATGATTTTAAACTTAAATCTAATGGTGCATTTTCATCATCATCAATAATTGTTTCTGTTATTGGATGATGATGTTCATTGATTTGATTATTTCTTTTTTTATTATTAAGATATTCTTGTCGATTAATACAAAATAAACATTCTTGTTCAGGATTAAAATCAATTGGTATTCGTTCATCTAATATAACAAAAAAGAAATATATATATATAAAAGAAAAAGAAAAGAATTTTCTATTTTCATCAAACCATCTGTTTGATTAAATACATTAACATCAAAATCGAAATGATTTTTTGTTATTGTTTCCAAACCTTTCAAAAACAAAAAGTTTATTTTTTTTTAAACTTTAATTAAATTAATTTTTTTTTTTCTTACCAATTTGAAATAATAAATTTTTTGTCCATTTATTAAATTCTCGTCGAACTAACTTTCGATCTTGTTGACAACGAGCTGAAAAACATTCCGTCATCTAGAATATAACATAAATTAAAAACGCGCTTTTTTTCTTTCTCAAAACAAAATATGATGTGTTTCATCATAGACTATACTAATTAGGTACTCAGTCATGCAGTCAACAGAAGAAAAAAAAAAAGAAAAAGACAGAATGACGGCATAAGTCAGAAACAGGAAGAATTTTACGGAGTTTATCCAAGAGATACATAAAATATGACTTTTCTACCAATCATTGACCAGCTACCATTAATATTGTAAATGAACACCTTGAATATTTAAATTGTCTTATATATAGAACAGATGGCGCGAGATGGTTGAAAAAATTTAGATTATATAATAGTTGTGTTTGTGTCGTAAGGAAGTGAATATTTACGATGGTTCGTACTTGCCAAGTATTAACAAACTCTTACAATCTATAGCACAAAAAAAGATGTTTAACAGATGTAACTAACATTTTTGTTATTGAGTTCATTATCAATTGCTTCAATTAAATCTAGATCATCATTCTATAATTGTTGATGACAAGTATTTGTTTGTAATATTTCATAATTTTAATATTTCTATTCTTTTTATTCTGTACATTATGATGTCAACTATCACATAAAAACTCTAATTAGGATATTTTC